GCAGCCGAACGCTTAACCACTGCACCCCCAGGGATCCAGATCCTTAAACTACCCATCACTAAAAAACCTCACTGATATCTAAGAACCTTCAATGATGTGTTCATTCCAATTTCAATTTCAAATAATTACTTAGGGAAAAAAAGGTGTTTGTTTTGCTCTGATCTTCTTAATCAGTGTAACATATATTAAATGTAAATACTGAAAACTGTTCCACTCCTCAAAGCACCCGTTCTCAAAGTATGGTCCACAGACCCCAAAACTCTTTCATGGAATCCATGATGTCAAAGCTATTTTTATAACAATACTAAGACATTATTTGCATCTCTCATTGTGTCGGCACTTGCATTAACCGTGCAAAGCAATGATGAGTAAACTCCTGACATCTCTGCATCGCTCAAGATAATGGCACCAAACTATACTAGGAGTCACGGTATTCTTCACAACCACGTGCCACGTCCTCACAGGAGGAAAAGAAAAAGTCAGTGTTACCAAGAATGTCCTTGATGAAGCAGTAAAAGCTATTAATTTTATTCATCTTGATCCCCAAGTACACATCTTTTCAATATTCTGTGTGGTATAATGGGAAGTACACATAAAGCGCTTCGGCTGCATACCAAGGTTCAATGACTGTCTCAAGGAAAGCACTTCAGTGACTGTGTTACGAGCTCTAGATAACTAGCTGCTTCTTTCATGGGCCATTCTTGACTTGAAAGAGAAACTAGCACACAAACCTGGTTATCCAGACTAGGGTATTCAGCAGACATTTTCTCAAAAACGAACAAAGTGACATTGTCACTCCAAAGAAAATAATTGACAGAATTTGACGCCAATTATAAAACTTGAACTTTCAAGTAAAAATCTGAATTTTGGAAAACTATTCAGCACCATGAACTTGACAGTTTTCCAAAACTTAAAGACTTTTCTGCTGGGTGTGGATATCAATGAAAGTGATTTTTTTTAATATATATATTGTATAATGTAAACGATCCATTTAATGTCCAATACAGACCAATGGATTCTAATATAACAGTACAAAAAGTTTACTGATACAGTTCAGATTTCACATTGCAACTAATCTTTAAAAATACTTGTCCAATTTTAGTGTAATATCAAAGAAGAATATCTGCAATTATTTTAAAAAGCCATTAAAATACATCTCCCTTTTCCAACTACGTATCTTTATGGGGTGAATTTTCTTTATATACTTCAACCAAAGTGATAAACAGCAATAGACTGAAAGCAGAAGCAGATATGAGAATCCAGCCAGACATAAAAGCAATTTGTGAAAGGGTAAAACAATGTCACTCCTCTCAACAAATATTTTTAGAAATGTTTTAGAAAATATTATCCATAAAAAATATATTTATAACATACAATGCATTTATTATTATTTTTAATGAATTAATAAATATAGTTTTAAATTTCCAAATTTTAATTTCTAGTAAGGCAAATACAGATACAGATAAATTGAAAAATCAAAAGCTCTTTGGCATCCCAATAATTTTGAAGATGTTTGTAAAGGGGTACTAGGAACAAAATGTTGACAAATAAAAATACACAAATAAACTTAAAACCAACAAGCATACATACTCTGGAAAGCAGATGAAGGGGCGTAAAATATCACTGACATCAAGCACGCCAAGATCCAAAACATGACATTTATTCAGAAAGTACTTAGTCTTTTTTACATGTATCTTTTCTAAGGACACAGAGACCTTTCACATTTTGAAATTCACTAAAATGATTTTTGACTGCCTCTCCCACTAGGCTGTAAACTCCGTGAAGATAGGACCATGTGTGTTTTGCTCAGCAATATCAGCACCTGGCACGGAGTGGGCATTCAAATATCTGCTGGATTAAATGGGAGGGAAAAAAAAGGACATGCAAACTGAAGTCACTGGCGTTCTCTATTCAAAATTATAAAGATAAAATTTTACAACCAAAATGTACTTATTTACATAGTAATACAATCACAGAAGCGACCGACCATTCATTGAGGACCTAATTACTGTGTGCCAGGCATTATAGCAGGCATTTTAGATTTTTAACTCCCACAATGACCATGGGATGTATTTTACGGGTAAGGAAAATAAGGCTCCAGGAGTTTAAGTAACTTGTCTAAAGATACAGGCAGTAAGGGACAGAAAATTTAAATCTACATCTCTCTGCTTAAAAGCCCACAAGCTTTTCACTACATACTGATATAGTGCTCAGCGCTGCTTGGTTACAGTTTCTTTCCATTTCCTTACAATTTTCAGAAGAATTCATTTTGTGGGAAATCACTTTTTTTTTTGCTCAATCTCCCAACTTTGTTCTACCGACACCCAACTCCCACCCCTTTACATCACTCAATTAAGCAATACAGTAAGACCTCTGTTAGGGAAAAGTATATGTTCTCATAACACACTCAGAAACTCCATTAACAATGGTAAAAGGCTAAACAGTGTCAGATTCCAGAACTCGAATTAAGGCTCTCTGGCCCACTGATCTCGCAGGATGGTTTCATACCCAGTTACACAGAGGACACTTGGCCAGGGTTTGAGCAGCACCACCTCCATTCCCAAGTGACTGAACCTAATGAGCACCCCCAGACGTGCCCAGCCCTTCAAGGCCTCAGCCATGATTTACCAATCAGAGAGGACCAAGACAGTACCTTCTGCCAATTTCTCCTCAGTCTCTGCAACCAAAGGACCAACACTGAAGAGACCAGAGCTCCCAAGACCTCCTCCAGCCCCAGGACAACCTGAATGAAAGGAGCTTTGTTTTTGTTCCCAAAGAATATGTTAGCTGCAATATCACTACAACAAGAAAGGCTAATACTATTACTATCATTCTTCCCACTGCTTCTCAACAACGTGTAAATGTCTCTTTCCCTCCTTTTGGTAAAAGGTTAAGAATAAAATTAGCAAACTATTCCAGGAAAAATACTATACCGTAAACATTGCCACGATATCTGAGATATCTGATAATCTCACCACCAGCCAATACTTTAAAGAAAGGGACCCTTAGAGTCTGTGGAAGTTTTACACAGATCTTGTTAAACTTCACAAAGCCCTGAATATGCCTTTCCTCAACACCCAGATTTAAGAAAACATACAATATGAAAAAGGGTTCTTCTATCTAAAAAATGAATTCAGCTGCAGCTGGCTAAAGAAACCTGGGCTGAAAAAAAGTATCACAGGAAGACAGCATTTGGCAGCTATCATCACTCTGTAATAATTGTCGTTAGTAACTCCTAGGCCAGAATGCTCCTTAGAAGCAAGGATGGCAAGACTTCGTCTCACGTACTTTGGAAATGTTAGCAGGAGGGACCAGTCCCTGGAAAAGGACATCACACTCGGTAGAGGGTCAGTGAAAAAGAGGAAGACCCTCAATGAGATGGAGTGACACAGTGGCTGCAGAAATGGGCTCAAGCATAACAACTGTGAGGATGGCACAGAATCGGAGTGTTTCATTGGCACCTAACAACATGCTTTCAATCAAAAATCTAGAACCACACTAATATAACAAAATTTAAGAATACAATTACTTAAGCAATTTAATTGTATCACTAAATACATACATGCTACAAACAAAAATAAATAGCACTCTAAATACTCGATTTAAAAAAATGTTTTAGTATTACCTAATAATTCTAGATTAATACAAAAACATGTTATTAAAAAGTTTACATCATCTCACTTATTCTTTCCTAGCGGTGAAGTTCCCACTACTACCTCCTCTAATAATGTGAATATAGTCTGTAAAGTCCCACCCTTCAAATTCTATATGGCTTCCTAATACCCAAGTGTTGCTTAATACTGCAAAAATACGCAGAAATCAAATTTATAAAAATAATCCATGGTAAATAAATAATCAGTGCATTTTTCCACAAACTAAGCCTCTCATTTGCTCATGTTCATTTGCCAAACCTTTAGCTATCCCACACACTCCTCTGAATATCTACAACCAAGAACTTTCATTTAAAAAGCACACTAGGAAGTTCCACCAAGGATGGCTGGTGAGACCTTCTGGGCCTCATTCATCGAAAAAATACGCATATATGTTAACTCTTCAGGACATGTAAATTAAAACTGCAGTGCCATATATAGGAAATTTTTCTAGAATACTAGGAAAAGGAAAAACATCTAGAAGCTTCTGTGGGAATCTGCCTAGTATTGCCACCACTGACACCTTCTCTGAGACCTGCCCCCACCCGTAGGAGTGGGACCTTTCAGCTAACTACACGTGCACTTCTAGACCCCAGCCCTGTAGCCATACTAACTGGACCAACGATGGAGAACTGGGCCTAGTTCGACCAATCCAATCCACCCCCCACCCCCCAGGAATCTGACATTTGGGCAGTGAAATACTAATCAGCTGGCTAATGGTATTACAGCTTAAGTTCGTATGTGGCTCTAGGCATGGCTCCAGGCATGGCCAATTTCTTCCATGTGCTTATTAAAGCAAAGTCAGACTGGGGAAAAGACTAAAGCAGAAGGACAAAGAGACCCAAGAGATGCTGTCTGGCCAGCTGGGAGAAAGGGCTATGACCACCTTGGCTCCCGAATGCTTCCCAGTTTCTGGCTCCAGTCCTTCATGAAGCAAACTGCTTAGCATCCCTGCCCCCAAAGATTCCTCTTTTGGCTTAAGCTAGTCTGAATGAATTCCTGTTTCTTGCCACCAAAAAATCATTATGACAATTTAAGATACGAATACATAGCTGGATCAGTGCAGAAAGGGTATGATTATTCTTATATATGATTCATAAAGGAGCTGAGTGGCACCAGAGGAGTTTCTATTCACTGTCCATAACCTCAGGAGAAATAATAGGATGAAGATAACTGAAACCTTAGTGGTGATGGCTGAACAACATTGCGAATGTAATAAAAATGGTTGAAATGAAAAATGTATGTTGTATGTATTTTACCACAATAAAATTTAGATAATAACAGAAACCTAAAAGCAAAAATCACCTGTTTGCATGAGCCTTCAGCTTTGTGCTTCCCTTCAACACTTACCTGTTCAAAAGTTCTGCTGGTTCACAGCAGGAGGTTTGAGCAGACTTTGTTCAGATCCTTTTAACACTGTAAATAATAAAATTACTAATGTAAATCACCCAGCAATTTCTTAGGGAACTTAAAACGTCAATTTCTCATCATGAATATGTTGTGCAGGAAATGGCTCCCACACCTGGTTAAAATATTAGAATTGCGTGCTTACAAACCAGATGCCCGCTCAGCACATCTAGAGTCTCTCTCAGCAGCTCTGGGGTGGGTTTGAGAAACACATGTTTTTTACAAGGGTCTTACGTGAGTCTGACTTAAATGACAAATGCGTACCACTACTGGGTTTTAGAGAAGTGATTATTTCATTCAAAATCACATTATGGGGATTCGGTATTAACGTCTGAAACATAGCTGATAGAAGACGACAGCTAGCATCACAAGAATAAAATGTGTATCCCACAAAAATCATCACTGAGCCCCCAGCAGACTGACCACCGCCAAACTGTCCAAAGAGCAAAGCTCCATGTGTGCTTTCAGCTGCTAAACCACAGCCTGCATTTAATGCTGTGTTGAAGCTGTATCATAAAAATCCACAAGATGGTGACATTTCAAGTGACAAGGAGTGGACTGAAGCACAATAGCTTCAAATGGTCTCTTAGCTAAAATTAGGTGATTCTTTGGATGCTGCTGCTACAGAGTCAAAAAACAACAATTTAAAAATAAAGTTGACAATTTTACTGACAACAGAAAGCAACTGGAGAAAACCTTCCACCTTTGACTTAATTTTGTAAAAAAGAAGCCATGTTATGTTATCTAGAAGGTCATCTAACTATAGCCCCTGTACTCAATTTTAACTTTTTTTTTTTTTAAGGGAAGAAGAACGAGGGAGAAGCAGGTAATAAAACAAACTCTTCTCTGGACCAAACTCAAGAGAGCAAGCTCCAGGGTATCTCCTATTATAATAAACTAAGCTCAAGTTCAATGAAAATCCTGTAGGTAACAATATGAAATTGTGTTCCATATTTAATTACTTGAAGTAAAGAAAGTATGCAATACTTTGAAGACGTTTTTATAAAATAAAGTCTGGACATTTACAGGAATATTTTTCTGTTTTTCAATCTCTCCTCCCTCAATCTCACATGAAATTATGGGCAATTCAACAAAGGTACAATTTTGCATTCCTGTATAATTAATCTAGTATATTTCCCTCTCATCAGACAGAATGAAACAGAACACTAATTCTGGTCAAGAAATATTAAAGGATTCTACCTACAAGTAAGCTTGCCCATAGAATAAAAACCTACTTAATATTTTTCAAGCTATGTAATTCTTCAGGGCATTAAAAATGAATGGAAACGAGGACTTTATACACCATAAAACCTTGGTGGGGTGGGGGCGGGCATTGGATTCAGAGTTTCCAACAATGACCAAAGAACGTTAAGGCAATTCAAATTGTTGAAGGAAAATGGGCATTCAACTTGCCCTAAAATACCTGGATTAACACCAACATAGGCTGCAGGGTCAACTAAATGAGACTGGTCCCACTCTAATCTATAAGAAACAGAATAAAACAGAAAGTACTGAAAATTGAATCAGAGGGCCTGATGGAGAACTGCAGTCAGTCTGTCTTTGAAAATGACACAAATCAAAGATCCTTTAGAGAAGGAGCAAGGGTAGAAGGGTCGGTTAAGTAATCCGTTCTCCCATATTGGTTCTCCCAGACAGCAATCACTATCAATAGTCATTTTCCAGCGTGAAGGTCAACAAAAAGAGGATAGCAATATGGCACATTAAAATGCAGAGTCATGAGGACAAATTAGCTGATATGACATCAAAGACATAATTTAGAAGTGTCATTTTGAAAATTCAACAAAGGAACAAGAGAAGGCAGAAAGGCACTTGGTTGAAACACTACCTCATCACTATCACCAATATGTGCCCCTTCAGCCAAGGAGCTCCATTCGCACCCTGAACTTGTAATTCCCATCTTCTCATGATTTTGACAAGCCTATGACAAATTATGTTCATACATACAACTGGTCAGCAAAAGCATTTCAAAACCAAAATATTAAATTCTTCAGGTAAACTAAAATGAAAGAGAACATTTATAAAAGCTCATTAAAAAATTTTTTTTTAATCTAGTATCAAATTAATTAGAGAACTAGTCTGAAAGGTACAAGTGGAAGGGTAAAAAACTCAACACAAAAAGTTCTATGCATATAAGATATTATTTATAAGGAATATACAAACAAATTAGTGGAAGTCCCTGAGGCATTTAAAAACAGGCTGGCCAGCACAGAAATGATTTCTTTACTAACCAGATTACAGGCAATGTGAGTTATTACACTGGTTCCATTTTTCTTCCTGGTTGTATTCCTTAATTATCTGTGTCTCAACTTCAAAGGAAAGTCTTCATTTCCTTACATTTTCAAATATTCTGAAGATTTCAAAATAGCCCCTTAGAAAGCAACTCCTTTCAAAAACTCCTTTTAGACAGTTAAACATCAATGTCATTTAAAATTTCTTACTATTGAGAAAGATAATTCATTATAATTTCCTGAATTTTATAAGCCTCCTGAATTTTTCCAAATTTGGGGGTAGGGAGGGTGTGTGGGGAGAAGAATGTTGGCCCAAATTTCCGGAATGTGATTTCCCTCTTTAAGAGTCATAAGAGAGAAGGAAAATTAGATTCCAGGACACTGAATAACCCCTCTCAGCACCAATGAGGTGGGCACACACAGCTCCTACTAGCCTCCCTCTCTTGCTTTCTGCACGAAAGCCTCCAACTTCTCCCTGCCTACATCAGATAGGTTGCTCCCACCTCAGTTTTTGCCTCAGGGTCTTTGCCTTAGCTGTTCGGCTGTCTGCAGCACTCTTCCCCCAATATCTACACGAATAGCTCCTTTATTCCTGTCAAGTCTTTCTTCAAATGTTTGCTTTTCTATGAGGCCCTCCCTGGACACTCTACTTAAAAATCCCAAATTTTTGAAATGGTGTATCTTGGCTATGTATATTTTCATCAAAAAAAAAAAAGGTCGAGAAGGGAGAGGGTTGACATGTTGTGGGGTTGTTAACCAACGTCATAAAACAATATGTGCACTACTGTTTCATGAGAAACTATTTGTTCTGTAAGCCTTCACCTGAAGTACAATAAAAAAAAAAAGATTAATCCCAGCCTCCAACTCCCTATTTCTCCCGGTATCTTTTCTTTCCACACCACTTACCACTACTCTCTATATTTTACCTAAGTATTCATTTGTCTAGAAACGAGCTCCATGGGAGCAGGAATTTTTGGTCTGTTTGGCTCCCAGGATGCAACGGTGTAGTAGATGTTCAATATTTGTCAGATAAATGAATGCAAGAAAGAATAAAGAAATGAATGAATGAATGGAAGAACACGGTCCCTTCCCCCTCCCCATCTCCCAAAACAGTCATCAAAAAGCTGTGAAGCCCTTTCCTTCCTAATGAATCACTACCATCACCACTGTATTCCCCAGTGCTGCATGTCAAAGGAAAGGATCATGTAACATTCTTCCAGATACATGTCACTTAATTTTTTTCCTGGTGTCCTCTTCTGCTGTCAACAGCTGATATAATCGAAAAGTACATATTCCAGTTTGTCCACTCTGAAGGCTGCTACACTCACTTGTAAAACACATAAAAACATCAATGGATGAGAGACAGCACTTGTGTTCTAATCAAAATGGACAAACTCCAGAAGGCCAGAGCTGCACATATTAGAGGGATGAAAGTTAATGGACATAAAAGAAAGGATGACAAATAATATCTTTTTAATCAACGAAGTCACTGCACTCTAATAAGGAGCTACTACATAAGAAAAGAATTATCTCCCCTGAACAAAACACTGGGAATCAAGCCTGCCTATAGTTCAAGGTATATGGACAGTCCTGGATAGAAAGCTGTTCCTTTACTAACCCCTTACTCAAAGTCTTGCAAGTTAAATTGGAATACTTACCTTCCTTACCGAGTGACTATGGTGTGCTTAAGTGTGTTTAAACACTTTCAGAAAACGGAAAAATTGACCAGTACCAGATGAACGCAAACCACTGGTATTGCTTCCCAAACGCACTCATACCCCCTGCTTCTTTCATACCCCCTTTCCTGGTCCCCTGATTTTATGTTTCGGCCCCAAAACTGAAGTATTGAGAATGCTTCACGGAAAACTGCTAACACTGACGCTCATGCCCATTTCAACCTGACGTTTGGGTCAAGGCTGCCACGGCTCTACTTTCTCCACCTCGGTCCCTGGTTCCGATCATGGCTCCACCTTGCCTCAGGCCTCCTCCAGACCCAGTCCTCTGGCCACAGAAGGAGTCTCCCCAGTCCAGATGCTCCAGGAGGAAGGCAAGGGCGCACCGCCCAGAGGCCAGGTGTGGGGAGGAGGACCGGCAGGAGCAGCTGTCTGGCCGCAGCAGCTGTTATTCGGGGCACGCCGAGGTTGGACGGGTGACTGGCCCCAAGGAGCAGGTAGCAGAAGGCTAGCCCTCTGCCCCTGACCAAGCTAGCCTGACACTGCCCACCCCATCGTCCTCTTCCCTTCCTCGGCTCCCCCCGCAATGCCACAGGCATTCTCGGAAAAGGGGGCTCCCAGCTCCCCGCAGCCGAGACGCGCCCGGGCCCGGCGTGCTCCGCTCCGGGAAGTAGGCTCCCTCCGGCCCCGCACCTGACCTGTCCCCTCGCCTGACGCTCCAAGCCCGCCGCTGCCGGGGCGGCCTGTGGGTGTCCATGCGGCTGGGCCGGGTCGGGCCGGAGCGGCGAGGGCGCGAGCGCGGCCAGGAGCCCCAGCCGGCCCGGGGAGACGCGGCGGAGCCGGGGCGCGGAGCGGAGCCGGGCAGGGGAGCGAGAAGGAGTCGCTGGTTACCTGCGGTCCGGGACAGGGAGTCTCTCAGAACCCAAATCAGTCTTCAGCCTCAACAACACAAGATGGCCGACACGTCGCCACGCACGTCACGTGACACCGCGCTCGGTCAGCCCCGCCCCTGCTCCGCCCCCTCCCCGCCCCCTGCCTCGCTTCCCTCCCCACTTGTCCAGCCTCCCACGACAGCCTTCCTTTCCTCTGCCTCCCGCCCCTCTCTCCCGACACGCCCCTGCCCGAGACCCGGATGTCAAGCTGGAAAGGGCGGGGGGGGGGGGCGCCGCGGCAGGACGCAGGCGCAGTGCACAACGGCGGCTGGGGCTCTTGGCTGGGCTCACTGCCTGCCCTTGAGCTGAGTAGAGTTGGTGTCCAAAGTTGGACCCGCGCCAGGCACCCTGTGACTCACTATCGTATGCACCCAATCCAGGGCCTGTTCTCAGTTCAAAAAGCTCTGCATCATTAATGAGCTATTTTTTTCCAAACTTTTCCTGAGCTTTCCGTCTAGCCCTGAGGCATCTGGTAGTTCGCCTTGTGGGCTTTTCCTGCACCTTTGCCATCCTAGAGTTTGTCGGGAAACTACAAGCTGAAATTCAAACTAGTTTCTCTACTTGCTCACGGTTCTGGTAGAACCAGGAATTCATGAATTTAAGAGCTGTAAAGTTCCCATTTCCTCGTAGTACATCCGGCGCTATGACCCTTTTGCCTGAAAGTCTCCCGCTCTGGGGTTGCCAGATAAAATAGAGGACGCCTAGGGACATACTTATACGTCGTGTTCTTAAAATTTAACTGGGCGTTCTGTATTTTTATTTGAAAATCTGGCAACTCTACCCTTAGTCTCCCTTCTTTTCAAGTCATCCCCCTTCTCTCCTCTATCACAACCTCTTCCCATCTTGCAAAAGCAAGATACTTCCCATCAACTTTAAAAAAGTACCCAGAGTCTCCCACCTTAAAATTTAATGTTCAAAACTCCAGTTCCCCCTCCAGGTACTTCCCTGCTTCTCTGTTCCCTTTCTGTTCCCAATTACTGCCCTTACCTAGCCACCTACTGCTTGCCCTAAGGACACCTCAACCTATAGGTTGGTAACAAGTTTTTCAGTCTTCATCTTAACTTTAGTGCTACCCTGTCTTCAACATGATTGACTGTTCCTACTTTCTGAAAAACTTTCTTCCCTTGACCTTTATGCCCTTGTCACTCAAAGTGGCGCAATCCCGATCAAAATTCCAACGGCCTTCTTTACAGAAATGGAAAAACCAATCCTCAACTTAATATGGAATAGCAAGAGGCCCCGAATAGTGAAAACAATGTTGACAGAGAAGAACAAAGTAGGAGGACTCCCACTTCCTGATTTTAAAACATACTATATACAACCACAGTAATCAAAACAGCCTGGTACTGTTACAACAATTGACACATAGACCAATGGAATAGAATTGAGAGTCCAAAAATAAACCCACACATCTATGGTCAACTGATTTTTGACAAGGGTGCTAAGTCTATTCGATGGAGAAAAAAGAGTGTCTTCAATAAATGGTGCTGGGAAAACTGGATTTCTACACGCAGAAAAATGAAACATGATAGATGCCTCACGCCATACACAAAAACAAATGCAAAATGCGTTAAGGACCTAAATGTGCAAACTAAAACCATAAAATTCTTAGACGAACACGAAAAGACAAAAAACTCAATCATAAAATGGGCAAAGGACCTGAATAGACATTTCACCAAAGAGGACATTCAAATGGGCACCGAACACATGAAAAGATGCTCAGCGTCATTAGCCATCAGAGAGATGCAAACCAAAACTACAATGAGACATCATTTCACTCCCACCAAGATGGTTAAGATGAAAAAAAAAAAAAAATAACAAATGTTTGTGAGAATGTGGGAAAATCAGAACTCTTATCCATTGCTGGTGGGAATGCAAAATGGTACAGCTGTTGTGGAAAACAGAGTGGGGGTTCCTCAAAAAAACTAAAAATAGAACTACCATATGACCCAGCAATTACACTCCTAGGTTTGAAAGCAGAGACTGGTACACCAACGTTCACTGCAGTACTATTCACAATAGCCAAAAGGTGGAAACAACCTAAATGTCCATCAACAGATGAACGCATCAACAAAATGTGGTACACACATACAATGGAATACTACTCAGCCAGTAGGAGAAATGAAGTCTTGATACATCCTACAGTATGGATGGAGCTTGAATACATTACGCTGAGTGAAATAAGACAATCACAAAACGACAAATATTGTATGACCTCACTTATCGAGAAAGACAAGAAAAGGCAAATGTAAAGAAATCAAAATTTATTAGTGGTCACCAGGGATGAGAGGAGGGGAAAAGTGGTGTTAATGGTGATGGAAAAATCACATTGATTAAGGGTAGGGTTGCATAGCTGATTATTGTAATTACCTTCAATAAGTTGTACACCTGTAAAAAGTTGAATTGGCAAAAGTGTGATAGATATATTTACAACAATGACAAACAAAAAAAGAATAGCTGCTGAAGCTGCTTATGTACAACCAAACATTGCATGAGATATAGTTCCTTGGTGTGGAGGTTTAGGGTCATGGTTTCACAAGAACTCCCAGTTAATTGGCCTAATAATGTGTTTAGTGCTTCTGTTCTACCTCTTAGTTCATTACATAGTGCCTGAGGTCTTAAAAGCTTGCAAGCTGCCATCCAAGGCACAACAATTGCTCTCTATTCACCTGGAGCAAGAAGACGGAGAGTCAGGAATAACAGGAGGTTATGGAATGTGTGGCTACCTCCATGAGCAACCACCTCCTGTGACATGAGACCAGAAGAACTGAATGGTACCTGGCTGCCACTACTGAACATTTTGATCAAAGATTCCATAGAAGAATCTTGATCAAAAGGGGAAAAACGCAGAACAGAATTTCACATTCTCATGGACTCTATCTAGACTTTCTGGAGCCATGCAGGGTGGATGAACCCCTAAAACTATTGCCCAGAGATAATCTTTAAATCTTAAACCAAAAATATCCCCTGAAGTCATCTTAAAATCAAACAATACTTTAGGTTAACTGGTAAAAGAGATCTGCATTGAGCATTATGCTCTTTTAAGATCTACGTATATGGGATCAAATTGAAAACAGCAGCTGAAAACATTAAATAGCGACCTTAGGGAGCAGTAAGTTCAGGTTAATGAGGGAGGAACAACTCAGACAAGGAGGGTGAGAATGGTCACACAACTCAAAGAATGTAATCAATGTCACTAAATGGTACATGTAGAAACTGTTGACATAGTTTATGAGTCGGAATTGACTCGACAGCAATGGGTTTGCTGTTGTTTTTGGTGGATTTGCTGTGTATATTCTCAACAACAACAAAATAAGTAAAATTTAGAAAGAAAAAAAAAGTATGGTCAATGGGCCAGCAGCATCTGCACCATTTGGCAGCTTGTTGGAGATGCAGCCTCTGTAAAGAGTCCTTCACAGTCCCATTCTGCTGAACTCTATACCACTATTATCCATATTTTCCCCTTCCCCTTTATCTCCCCCATGAACTTAATGCTCCAGATATGCCATGTTGGAGGCTCTACAAACATTTCATTCTGTTTTAGCCTTTCCACATGCTGTTCCCTCTTGTTACAATGCCATTCACCCCACTTCTCACCAACCTGCCTTACTCGTGCTCATTTTTAAAAGCCTAAATCATATGTTACTGCCTTTGTGAAGCTTTCTTTAATCTCCTCAACAGACCAAAAGGCTTACCGTTTGAATTCTTATTTTTTAAGAAAAAAATAATAATGATACTTGTAATGTACCAACCACTTCATTAAGAGCTTCACTTAACTCTCTTTTTAATCCTGGTGATAGCCCTATGGGCCACTGAGGAAGCCAAATGTTTACCCTCTCCAAATCTCAGCCAGGACACCCAAACCCAGGCTGCCGGATTGCAAAGCCCATGTCCCTTGCCATGCCACTTCTGTGATGTTATGCCACCTCTACAATGCTGGCTTAGTTATATACTGGTGCTATAACAAAAATACAAGTGGGTGACTTTAACAACCAGAAATTTATTTCCTCCCAATTTAGAAGGCTAGAAGTCCAAATTCAAGGCATCAGCTCTAGGGGAAGGTTTTCTCTGTCAGTTCTGGGGTAGGGTCCTTTTCTCTTCAGCTTCTGTTTCCTGGTTCCTTGGAGATCTCCATGTGGCTTGGCATCTATCTTCCCCCATCTCTGCTTGCTTGCTTGTTTGTTTAACCTCTTTTATATCTTAAAAGAGATTGACTCAAGACACACCTTACACTACTCTTATCTGATTAACGTAACAAAAACAACCCATTTCCAAAGGGGATTATAACCACAGGCATAGATGTTAGGATTACAACACATACTTCAGGGGAACATAATTCAATTCACAACAGCTGCCCGTGTATCTGTGTGTGTATAAAATTTGTACGCAGAAAAATTCAGCCTTATTATGTACAGTTATGCAAGTTTTGACAAATGCATGTAGTTGTTAGGTGCTGTCAAGTCAGTTCCAACTCATAGCTACCCTATGTTCAACGGAATGAAGTGCTGCCCAGTCCTAACCATCTGCACAATTATTGCTATGTTTGAGCCCATTGTTGCAGTCACCGTGTCAATCCATCTCGTCGAGGGTCTTCCTCATTTTTGCTGACTCTCCTCTACCTTACCAAGCATGATGTCCATCTCCAGGGACAGGTCCCTCCTGATAACATGTTCAAAGTACTTGAGAAAAAGTCTCACCATTCTCACTTTCAAGGAACATTTTGGCTGTACTTCCAAGACAGACTTGTTTTCTCTTCTGGTAGTCCATGTTATATTCAGTATTCTTCATCAACACCATAATTCAAAGGCATCAATTCTTCTTTAGTCTTCCTTATTCATTGTCCAGCTTTTGCATGCATATGAGGCAACTGCAAATATCATCAAAGTGACATCTTTGCTTTTCAACAGTTTAAAGAGGTCTTTTGCAAGCAGATTTGCCCAATGCAAGACATCATTTGATTTCCTGACTGCTGCTTCCATGGACACTGGTTGTGGATCCAAGGAAAATGAAATCCTTGATGACTTCAA